GTATTGGACTTATAAAAGTAATCCAATTATGTTAGCCCATAATATTTATTTGGCCTAATATATCTTGCATTTAAATATAGCCCAAATTATTTAATAAATTTAATTCTAACAAATTTTATATGCCTACATCTATATCTAAGAATTTATTTTAGAAAAACGTAATACATTTTTGGGGTTAATTTCACAAATAGTCATATAACTATGACATTTTTTCACTAAAGTCATATAACTTTATTTTCTCACACAAAAGTTATATAACTATGACTTTTTTTCACAAAAGTCATATAACTTTATTTTCTCACACAAAAGTTATATAACTATGACTTTTTTTCACAAAAGTCATATAACTTTGTTTTTCACTGAAAAATCATATAACTATGGCCTTTTTTCACTAAAGTCATATAACTATAATTTGTTTTACCAAAATTATATAATTATGTTTTCTCACACAAAAATCATAAAACTTTTACTAACTCACAAAAATTATAGTGATCGGAAAATATAATTTTTCGCTAGTATTTTCTTATTTTGCAGATTTTTATTTTCTTATTTCTAGCCTAATAAATAATAATCCAATTAAAATAAGAATGAGTCAACCCGACCTGGCCCACCCTGATCCAATACTCATATATATAAATTAAAAGTTGGGTCATTCCTATTTACTAAAAGTGAATTCTTTCCCCATAAAAAATTCAATTCGGAATACATGAGATTCTTATAAAGAAAAATAAAGAAATAAAAGGTATAATTAGAGAGCACTTGAAATAAAAATGCTATAAATTTGAATAAAAATCTCGAAAATTAAAATAAACAATAGAAGTATCATGTTTTGAAGGATTTACTATTCACTTTAGTATTATTTTAATTTATATATATGAGTATTGGGTTGGGTGGTCCAGGTCGGGTTGAGTCATTCTTATTTTAATTTGATTATTATTTATTAAGCTGAAAATAAGAAAATAAAAATCAACAAAATAAGAAAATACTATTGAAAATTTATATTTTCTGATCACTGTGATTTTTGCGAGTTAGTAAAAATTTTATGATTTTTGTGTGAAAAATATAATTATATGATTTTGGTAAAAACAAAAAATCATAGTTATATGATTTTTGTGTGAAAAGAAGTTGTATGACTTTAGTGAAAAAAAGTCATAGTTATATGATTTTTGTGTGAAAAGACAAAGTTATATGACTTCAGAGAAAAAAGTCATAGTTATATGACCTAGAGAAAAAAAGTCATAGTTATATGACTTTTGTGTGAGAAAACAAAGTTATATGACTTTAGTGAAAAACGTCATAGTTATATGAACATTTTTAAAATTAACCCTACATTTTAGCCCAGCAAAACATAAATGCTTAGGTAAATAACTGGCCATAAGCAATTCATCTCAAACTCTCCAAATTTTAAATGCTCTGATTTTAAATCAGACAAAAGAGTAGAAAAGAAGTAAAATGTTACTTTTCTTCTATTTTAACCTGAATTTTGCTAAGGAATATAAACAACGGATTCCTTTTCTATTGTTTGGAAATGAGGAAAATATGAATAAAAAGAAATGGACGTAATTACTTGGATAAATTTTGATACGCATAGATAGTTTTCTCAAANATATATATTAGTTAGTAGCTACAAAGATTAGAAGGGAAAAAAATGGATGTATGATATACATATATTCGGCAGAGTGGAATTTTGAAAAGGAATAGTTATTGGCAAGCATGCTGCATGCAATTTGATGAACTAAAAGAATTATACTACTAATATAGAGTACTTCTTTTGAGGCGATAATTAATGGAGCTCAAATCATTGAAAGTCTACATATTTAAAGATAAAAAATGAAGGCACAGCCGGGCCATACGGGGAATTCAGTGAATAAATTTGAAATCGTAGAAATAAGAAATTAAAAAAAAGGGTACAACTGGCCCTCCATTGTCCTTTTGAAATTGTTAAATATTTAGATAGGAGATTCAGTGAACAAATTGGAAGCCTAAGAAATAGAAAATTGGAAAAGAAGGCACAATAGAACTGGCCCTTCCCTAGTCCCTTGTTTCCTATATTTGTTGAATATTCAGCTGGGGAATTTTGGAAACAAATTTGAAATTTTGGAAATTCTGATTTGCTAAATAATGGGTCCACATTCTTGAGTTTCAACGAATATCAACAACCATGATGTTGACACAAAACATTAGTTAGTGAGAGTCAGAGATGAAACGTTGGGCACTTGGGCCAATTAAGTAACCTATAAATAATATTTTAGTCACCTATTATTTTATTAATAAATTAAAAATATTTTTTAATTAAATTGCATAAAATTGTTTTTAACAGTTTTTTTTTAATTCAAAAAGGTGTCTATTGGTTTTAAAAGGTACCTGTTATGAAGAAATGAGTCTGTTAATTCTAACAGACTCCTAGATGTATTATAAGTATACCCATATCATCTCCAAAATGAAATCATCGGAAAATTTCCATCTCTTTCTCTTTTACTTATTTTCTACAACTCACAAATATTTTGTTCTTGTGGTAAATTCGAGTTAATTGTTGAAACTCAAATTTCAGAAGCTTTGTAAAATTTTGGAGGAATTCTGCTATTATCCCTGTAGCAACAAAATGGGAAACTTAAATTTCTTTAGGACAGTAATTACACTATCGAAGCCAGATTTTTTCATCCCATTATTTTTCTAACAAAATCTTACTACAAGTTTCAACATTTTTCGTTGACGAAGTATAAAGAAGAAAGAGAAGTGATTCGAATGACAAATTCGTATTTCTTGTTCCATTGTACAATCATACATATATGAAATTAGGTTGACAATTTAATTTATTAGTAATGAAATTTGATATAAATAATTTATATTAATCCAACTAGTATAGAATTTAAACAATATATATTGTTTCATATTTTTATCTCAAGTGACATTTGTTTAATTGTTAGTGCTGCTCAAATAAAAATACAAAAAGGAAAAAAGGAAAACAATTGTTGATTCAAAAGGCCAATTAATCCCTTATTATTAGTTACTCCGGTACACAATAATGACCAATTTGCTTTTGGCACATCTATTAAGAAAATACTAAATTCTATACAAAAATACCTAGTATGACTAAACTACCCTTAATTAAATATTTAATGTGGGGAGTAAGAAAACTTTTTAGGGACACGTACATAAGGTTAATTTTGTTAAAAAAAATTGAATTCTTTCTTGATTATATAAATGGACACTTATTTTGGACCAAAATAAAAAGCAAATTGGTCACTTATTGTGGACCGGAGAGTAGTTCGTAAGCCAGTGCTCGTGGCAAAAGTTCCTTTTAAAGATTTATTTGTTTGAGTCTCCATTGGGGGATTTGCATCTATACCCACTTTTTGGGTCACGTTTTTACTTGTGCCCGCTTTGGAAAAAAATTGCAAGCGCACCCGCTTTTTCGCGTAACTTCAGCATACGAAGCTGAAGTAGCAAAGGCAATCACTCAAAACTTCAGCATTCTAGTAGACGGGCCTGAAGTAGCAAATGTGCTGAACCAAGTGTGTTGAAATTTTTGTTTGTAATTGCTGAACTTAAGCATAGTAGCTGAAGTTTTGTTCTCTATTTGTTGAAGTTTTTATTTATAATTGTTGAACTTAAGCATAGTAGCTGAAGTTTTGTTCTCTATTTGCTGAAGTTTTTGTTTGTAATTGCACTAAATAAGCTAAAGTTTTTTGTCCTTGATTCATTAGTTTTGTCATTAAGCTTTTTCAAAAACTTCAGCAGAAGATGCTGAAGTTATTTAGTTCATTAATAAAAACTTCAATACTAAATAAGCTGAAGTTTTTTTGTCCTGGATAAGCTTTTTCAAAAACTTCAGCAGAAATGCAGAAGTTATTTAGTTCATTTGTAAAATCTTCAGCTTATTTAGTGCTGAAGTTTTTATAAAAAGTGAAAGTTTTAAGACAACGCCGTCAAATTCGCCACGAGGACTATGTTCTATGTCGCATTACAAAGACTGTTAATTTGTGTGCAAGTTCTCATAATGTCCCTTTGGCCATTAGTGGGCTCCTTCCCCAGTTGATAAGTTTCAGTTTCAAGAAAACCAAGAATGTGAGTTGAGCAATTTTAGAATGGGAACGAGTGCATAAGCGTAGATAGTTTACCCACAGAAGAATCAAAAACTGCTCCATTGATCCAATTGTCTCTAATCTCTATTGAAGAAGCAGAATGTTCTGCAGCTGTGGCACAATACAGAAAGCAAAAAGAAGAAGAAAGAGAGAGCGAGAAGCTTCATAAAACCCTCATGAACTTGATATACGAGTCATCAGGATTCAACATATATATGTATTACTGTATATTCATAGCAGCACCAACAGCAGCAGAAGAAAGAAGAAGAAGAAGAAGAAGAAGAAGAAGAAGAAGAAGAAGAAGAAGAAGAAGAAGGGGAAGCAAGGGGCTGAAATTGTTTAAAAAGTGGGTAGAAGTTAAAATTTTTTTAAAAATGGGTATAAGTTAAATGAGAGCGACCAAATAGAACACCCCGTGCAATTTTTACGTCTCCATTATTGAAACATTAATTTGTATATGTATGTCTCGTAATCATAAAAAGTTAAAAGGAAAGTCATTCAGCTTTGTTTTGGTATCTTTGAAGATTATAAATCGTTTCAACCGTCAGTCAATTAGGCAATCATTCAATTAATTGGGCAACAACAGAAGTAGAGCTTAGCTTATGATAGTAATAGGTTACTCCAGTTACTATTTTTACCAGATTACTCTATGAATGTAAATAGTGGTGAAGCCACATAGTCGTAAAGGTCAACTGACCATCCTTCGTCGAAATATTGTAATGTGTATATAGGTAAAGTATTACGTTTTAGAGATATATAACACATATTGAACACCTTTTATCGGAATTTTTTTTCACTTCTTTTAAATTTGAACACCCTTGAAAAAATTCCTAATTTCGCCACGGAAAATAAATATTTAATTATATCATCATTAGTAAATAGGGATTGCATATGTATGTCAACAAGAAACAGTGATAGCTGTGCCAATAGTGACGAGTGGCCTTTGAACGGCCGGATAATAAGTCTTGATAAGAGGAGATATACAGATTGAAAAGTTGGCAAAGTGTGAAATTTCATTGTTTTCGAGGAATCAGGAATTTGTTGGGAATAAATTCCGAAAGTTGCATCACAAAATAGAGCAACTTTGGTTATAATTGTCATAAACAGGTTGACATACTGGATAATACTGTACACATGGGGGGTTAATTGGTGGGCAACATTGTAATTTGCACTTCTCTTCTTGTTCCTTCCTCTTCTTTTCTTCTTCTTCCTTCTTCTTTGCTTCTTCTTCCTTCTTCTTCTTTTCTTCGGCCTCTTTATTCGGAGGTTTCACTTCTTCCACGCTGACAATGCTAGCGCACCTGAATTTCCTCTTTAGGCACTTCATTAGTGCAAAAGAATCAACCCCTTCTCCTATCACAACCAAATGATTTTTTTCCTTATCTATATTTACCGATGTAACCCCTGCAATTAGTCAATCCACTCAGCTCTCATGCTTTTTTCTATACAAAATTAATTGATTCATTTAATTAGAATTTAGAGACTTATTGAATCTTCAACCTTTAAGATTTTAAGTATCGAATACCGAACACATTATTCTTTTAAAACTATGAGTATAAAAGTTACTTATATTTGTTGAATTTGGTGGTTCATAACATATAATTCAGAATTTGGTGGCTCATAACACATTATTCAGAATTTCAATGTTCATATATAGGGGGTGAAAAGCAAAAAATTTCAGACATACCTCGAATATTTACAGCAATCTGCATTGCCTTTGATCTGCTCTTATCAGTGCTCAGTGGAAGATCAATCACGATCTTTTTCTGTATGACAAATTGACATTAGATTAGCCAAGGACAGAACAAACGACAAAGAAAGCAATTCGAGATCAGTCTTGTTTCAACTTACCTTCATGCTCAAAGCTATATCTGGAACAATTTCTAGGAGTCAAATGTTACATGATAATGAAAGGAAATTGGGAGGGGCAGAGGTACGCCTATATAAAAGATGCTTATGATACAGAAAATTTAAGACATGGCTGTTTGTCTTATTTTGACCTACTCAACTCTAACTCGATTCAATACGAATACAATATACACAAATAAACTAATGTACTAATCATTAACCGAGAAGCCTATACGCTAAAACAACTACTCTCTTCGTTCCGATTTACGGTGGTCAACTGATTAATTTTCTTTATGAATTCAGATATAGGATTTCTAAATATTTAAAACAAAATTTACATATTTAGAAATTATGTAATTGTATTATAAGTCGTAATAGTTAATAATTCAAAATATTGGCAGAAAACGTGGTCAAAGAGAATCTTTTTTGACTCTCCAAACACTTCTAAAAAATAAAAATTAACGATGGATAAATTCTGTAGCTAACCAGAAAAATTTGTCACTAATTTTATTTAGCAACAGATTAGCGACATATTATCAAAAAAATCTACTAGCTACGAGCAATTTAACGACAGATTAGCAATGAAGTTCATAGTTAATTCCAAACTTTTTTGAGTGAAATAATAAATATGTCACATTCAGTGAAATGGAGAGAGTATCTCATACAACTTTTTATTAAGAGATATTTACAAGAAAGTACCAAATGAGTGTGCAGATGCAAATTTATATACTCAACATATTAATTTGTTCGCACATAAAGAAAGAGAAAAAAATTGATATGAAGCTTATCCATCTCAAATATGTACCTTATAAGATATAGTAATATATAATATCAGGGAATGATTCTTTACCAACTAACAATAAAGAGAAACCTCAACCTTCTGTTTATTTAATTAAAGACCTAGAAGTGAACTCCAAAGTCTTCTCAATTAATATTAATTTGTCGACAATGAAGTAGTTCATGTCACATACTTTACAAAGATATGACAACGCAAGTAGCATCCGGTAAGTAGGGGTGTACAAGAAAATTGACAAACCGCATCAAACTAATAATAATACAAATTAAATCGAAAAAAAAATCAAACTAGTGAATCAATTTGATTTAGTTTAGTATTAAAAATAATTTGATCATAATTAATTTGGATTGGTTTTAGTTAAATAATTAAACCGAAACTAAACTAACCCAATATAATATGTATATAATTTTAAAAATATTTTGTACATAAAAATATTTGTAATAATACAATTTATAAATATTTCTTAAACTTTTCATAATTTTTATCTTTTACGTATTATTTTAAGCTTGGAATTAGAATTTTTGAATGATCCAATAAGTTTTATAAAATGTTAGTAACTTATATAAGCCCAAATCATAACAAAATCAATACGAATGCTAAAAAAATTCAATCTAATACTAGGGATAGCAATAGTGTTGGATATCTATTTTTTTTGTGCATTGGTTTAAACAGTAAAAATACATAGCTTAATTTTATATTTTCTTTAGTGTTTAGTCATGTAATTAATATATATAGTACTTATTAGTTGTACTTATTTTAGCACGACTGATCACGCCCAACTATGCCTTATAAAAAGGACACGCGGACGTTGCAAATATAATCTGAGTATTTAGCCTAGAGTCGAACCCACAAGGAATTAACCTATCAATTACTCTTGTTAGATTCACTAAATTCTACGGAATCAACTTTCCAAACGTTTTGAATAACAATTGAGAATATTTCTATTAACTATAACTGACTGTAATTAAGTAACTAAAGACTAACTATGATTAAGTTGTAAACAATTAAGAGAAGGATCTAAGGTTGTGATTTCCCCTATTGATGGAATCTCTTCCGGTTATGTTTCATATAGATTTTCCTAACCGTCTCTATCGATCATGAGCACTCTTATTACCGTAAATCTCTCCCGAGTAATCATGACAATTTACTAGATGCACTCTCCTGAGTTACGCTAGTTGGCTTTTAATACATCTCACTTTAGATCGCACTCAAGGCTTCGTTATCCCTAATCCCACCTTTAAACCCTCGGTTATTGATCCCTCATATACTCTAGGAGTGGTGTTGTTCACCAATTACCTAAATATGCACTCTCTCCCGAGTAATACATACTAAATAGGCACAGCTAATTGAGGATCCTATCAATTAACTATAACAAAAACGTAGTTGAACAAATAGAGATTAAACTGGGCAAACTATATTAATATAACAAGAAGTTCATCCTTCAATAGGTTCCATCAAAACCTTAGACTAAATATTTAGCTACTCATACTAGTGTTCATCATAACAAAAGCCAAATCCATCACAAATGGTAAAATACAAAAGGAAGAAAGGAAGAACTCGATGTTGAATTATCCTTCTTGCCTCTCTTGCTTCTTCTTGCCTTCAACTAAGCTATAAAAACCTTGATAATGTTCCTTTGGGCAAGCTGGACCTTTTATAGGTTAAGTGGAATTACCCCCGAACTTCCAAATTTACCCCTAAATTTTATTTTTCGGAACTGGACTAGCGCGGTCGCGCTAACGGGCGCGATATTGACCGCGCATATGGCATAACATTCTGCCTCGAACTCCTGGGCTAGCCGGTCGCGCTAGTGGACGGACACGCTAGTGGGCGTGCTAGTTTGGGTCATCATTTCAGCCTTTCTTTCTCTCTTCTTCCAACGTACTCAGCTTCGAGGGGCTTCCCTTGCTTCAATTTAGATGCAATTACAGTTCTAAGTCCTCATACACGCAACTCGCTCCTGCAAAACATGAAATTCACAATTAGAGCCAATTTATCATCATTTATCTATCCTATAACAGTGAAACATAGTCAAGCTGGGGCATAAACAGTCGCCAAATTACATGAATCTAGCCTATTATCAATACCTCACACTTAAATCATTGCTAGTCCTTGAGCAATCCACCACACTCTGTCGCGCCCTTTTTTTTTCCTAAGCAGAAATCAGGTTTATGATATTTGGAGAGACAACTCATTCCTTTTGGGAACTGGGTTTGAATTTGAAGAGTCACCACCTAATGATTAGGGTGCATTAGGACACCAAAAGAGTTTGATTTGAATAACCAGAAATAGGGTAAGGGCTTGAAATTATTCTAAGGGGAAAGTGTTAGGCACCCCTCAGAATTCACTAGTGTGGTTCCCAACCAGACAATTATTATGAATTAATGTGCAATTAACGTATAAGCAAATAAGGCTCAAATAATAGGGGATTTCAACACATAATGGTTTGAAAGTAAACAAGTTTTGAAAGAACAATTAGAAAAGCTGATTTTTTAGAATAAAGAGTTAAATTGCTAAAAGAATAAAGAATAAAGGAAAGGGGGTCCTAGGTTTATTGAAAATATGGATCACCCCACACAATGTCTGGTAATCACTCCTCAATGAGGGGCTACACGTGACATTATCGCGTGGTCATCATATCCATATCTATCATTCCCACCCCGTCAAGGTATTAAAACGCAGATTGGTCTCGATTACTTATTGCATGCTATTACTCGTCCCATTCCTATCAATCCCGAAGGCACTTAGGACTACTAATCCTAAAAGGGAGGTATGCAGGGCTTATTTGGAGTTTCAAAGGTAAAAATTCTAAGGCGGCATGCAAAAACACATATTGCATATAAAAGGGGAAACACATAAGCATATAGACTCAAGTATACCTCCTCGAACAAACACATAAAGTAGCATGTCTTACACATACTGCTTAGGTCTAATTGAAAAGCATTAAATACAAGGGAAATGAGATTGTTGAGATAGTTTTAGTTTATTGCATAACTCAAATAAGAAGTCCGAATCAGGCCTGCCTGCTGGTTGTAGTGATTAACAGATTCAGTTTTATAGTTATTATTCTAAGGCTTGCCTCAATGTTTAGACGGGGTCCTATAGGCATGATATCTACCAAATTTAAAAGGTGATGAGATAGTAGAAGCTTGAAATAAATTATTCGAAATCCTATAAGCATGCTTGTTAAACCTTGTTAAGTGAGGGAATTAGGTTATTAAGAGAAGCAAAATGAACAAAAAAAACTAAACTGGCTACAGGTTCTGCAGGTGGTAGTATCTACTGTTATGACTTTAATTCCTAGGAGCATGTTATCTAACATTGACTATGAATGAAAGTGAATTATATTGGTTTAAGAAACCCCTATAGGCATGATTTCTATGCATTACTCGTTTTAAACCTTATAGGCATGACATCCAAATGAAGTTTGAATATGCAGAATTAAAAGTACCCTATAGGCAGGTTTTCTACATGAAGTTGAATATGCAGAATTAAAAGTACCCTATAGGCAAGTTTTTTACATGAAGTTGAAAAAGTATCCTATAGGCATGGTCTCTAGGTGAAGTTCGAATATGCAGGAGTTAAAACATCCTATAGGCGTTTTTTCTACCCTTGCATGCATAGTTACCCACCCTTTTCACTAGCTAGATCCAAGTATTTATTACAACTTATTACAAACCAGAATAACAAACTACATTAGAATAGAAAAAACAAAGAAAGTACAACCAGAGGAGGCCTGATTCTTGACTACCTCTCTGAGTTACGAGATAAACCAACTCAAAGACTATTGATCCAAAGCTTTTCTCCAATTTGAGTATGTCAGAGTTCTCTAAGAGACTCAATGGGACTCTAGGCAGTGCTCACGCCCAAATTATATTACCAGAATAGGGACAAGTGCAGTGTGGAAGTGCCAGCCCTCAAGTGTCCAAGTTTAGAGTGAGCTCATAGGTCCCAAGGCAAGGCTCACAAGAGAGGGGCAGAACTTAAGTCTAAGAGAGAGTGGAAGTGCAGAAACAGAATTTTAAGAACTAAGGAAGTAAAGGAGAGGAAAGAGGTGTTGGGAAACAGTTACAAAATTGATAACTTCACATAAAAGGGGTTCAGGGATTGGGAGCTTGCAAAGAGCCTATGTACTTATGCACTAGTTAATTCTGGGCATGCACATAAATAGGGAGTGCTGTTATGCTTAAAAAATCAACAAGAATACACAACATATAGTGGTAACATAGAGGTTTGAGTCATAGACATCAATACTCAATATTGTCATGCCTCAAACAAGCCATCAGTACCAAACACATTGGGTAGGGGTTTAGGATACATCATAAATTTAGAACATGCAGAATTGCTAAAATAAGTACTGAATTAAACACAAACAGTAGGCAGACAAACATGTAAAAGG